ATTGATTGATTGATTGGTGGGGAAGGGGTCGCCCTTCCCCCCCGCACATGCACACACACACACACACACACACACACACACACATGAAAAAATAAAAATTCCTTTCTTTTATTACGTTTCTTTTGATTAAAATACTTAATTTTTAGTTTTCTATTTTTTTTTAAATTGAAAAACACTTCATAATCCAAAAAACAAATATGCGCTTGTAGGTATTTTCAAACCCTACAACCCATATATATATATATATATTGGTATTTATTTAATAGGAAAAAAAAATATTCCAAAATCGGGACCGCGCCTTCCGCCCGCAGCCGACCTCAGCGATCGGGATCCAGGGGCCGAGATTGACCCGCGGTCATGACCGCGGGGGATTCATAGGTTAAAGGCTCATTGTCTAAGGACCACGTGGGCGGATACTCAATTCGTGGTGTGTGATGCAAAGGGGAACGAGCGTACCGTTCTATTGGACGAGACGCGCGAGTCCCCAATGACTCTTTTGGTGCAAACAAATTGTGCAAATCGGTGCGCAGGCGCAAGGAAGCTGAGCATGTGCATTTACATCTTGTAAAGCCTCTCCATGTGCCTTCTACTTTTGCTGCATTTTCTACCTTGGAAAATAATTCTACTTCTACTATCTCTACTTTTGTTCCATCTATTTCTACTGTAAAGAATCAGTCTACTTCTGATCCAAGTACTGCGAATTCGATTGTAATTGCTGTAAATTCTCAATCTGATTTTCTCTCTCCTGATGAGGATGATCCTCCACCGGAAGTCCCAACAAACATTCGCCCTCTATTATATCGATTTCCTAAAGTTCTGGCTGAACCTCGTGGAGTTCCCGAGCGTCCGGTCAAACACAAGATCGAGATAATAGAAGGGAGTGTCCCTCCAAAGGGTTGCGTCTACAGTATGGGACAAGGCGAGTTGGAGGAGTTCAAGAGACAGATTGACGATATGATTGATCTGCTAGATGTTGCAGGTGGAGGCAAGGTCTTCTCCAAGATCGACCTCAAGTCTGGCTACCACCAGATTGAAGTTGATCCGAGCAACCAGCACAAAACTGCATTCAAAACACGCGATGGGTTGTACGAATTGATCATTATGCCCTTCGGTCTTACGAATACACCAGCCACATTTCAGTGCCTCGTGGACAAGGTTCTCCGCCATCAGCTCAATAGGTTTGTTGTTGTTTACCTCGACGACATCCTGATTTTCAGCAAGTCCATGGAAGAGCACGTCAAACACCTTGAGGAGGTTTTGCAAGTCCTCAAGCAGGCGTAATTGCACCTCAACTTAGAAAAATCCGAGTTTGGAAGGGATAGCGTCATTTATCATGAGCACGCCAAAACCAAAATTTTATTGCAGAACCGGGACCAGATTCAGAGGCTACCACTCGGTGCTAGGGAGTTCACGCTACAACACAAGAAGGAAATTGCCAAGGTGATAGAAAACCTGAGGAAAGCCCAACACAGAATGATAGAGCAAGCTAACAAGCATCGTCGCCCGTCACAGTTTCAAGTAGGCAACCTTGTCTGGGTCAAGTCCAAAGAATTTATTCCTGAGGAGAACATCTCGCAGAAACTGTTGCCTGCATATAGAGGACTGTGGCCAGTTCTAGAAGTCAAAGGCAGATACGATGGACCGTCCCACACGATTGAAATTCCAGCACACCTCCACACCTACTCAGTCTTCAATGCGTCAAAGTTGTTGCCTTGCACTACGAGTCCGCAGTTCCCATCGAAAAGATCCATGATCCCTCCGGCTATGGAAGAAAGGTACGACATTGACGGCATAGTAGATGAAGATGTATTTAGGACAGGAGGTAGAGGTGGTCCACAGAAACAGTATAAAGTCAGATTTGCTTACCAAGAGCCCGAGGACGATCGCTGGTTTACGTGAACAGAACTTCTAGAAACAACTCCCGACATAGTTTGTGCTTATGAAAGAGCTAAGAAAGGTAAAGATCCTACTATAGATTGAATTATTCTCAGAGGACCTCAAATTTAGGCTGGCGGGAGTGAAACGGTTTTGAACTTTGAGGTAGCAGTTGCAGATCCCAGAGCTCGATCCCCAGACCTCGCCCTTACCCGTGTATAGTACTGATGACCTGTGTGTGCTTGAACTCACGACCTGTGTTTTGAAAGCCGCCTGTTTGTTTCCTGTAGGTAGGGTGCTCATCGGGTCTTGAACCGTGGGTCTGTAGGTTAGAGGTCTTAGCAGTGGTATGAGTCATAGTTGCTACAGTGTTGAAAGGTCAAGTCATAGCTGCTACAGTACTGAAGGGTCAAGCCACAGTCTTCCGGAGGTTCCGGAACTGGCCCTTCGTGAGTCATAGTAGTCAGCCCGTAGGCAAGTGGTCAAGTGAGCAGTCTTACCTTGCTTAGTCAGCGGTACCCAGTACCAGTCGCACCCTGTCAAGTCAGCAAGTGAAATGTGGGACTGTGTGCACTTCGGCCCCGGTGGAGAGAGGCAGACCAGCGACAATCCAAAGTATAAATAAAGAGGCAGCAATCATTCATTCATTCATTCTGCCTGTGAGCTGTGCGGAAGCGCTGTCGAAGTGTTTTGTGTGCCGAGGTCCGCAGGTGCCCGTTGATGAAGAGGGCTAAGAGGAGGATGCAATCAGACTCGCTCTCATTCACACTTCTCATGCATGTAAGCAGGTTGCGCAGCAAACTGGCGACAAGCGCCCACTCAGAACTTAGAGATATGGAAACCAAAACACAATTCAGAAACAAGTTCACTTCAAATGGCTATGGCGGCACGGCGCCTGTACAACTCTCTGTTCACACACACACACCCTGGATATCCCACACGCATCACGCTGTACACACACACACACACATACACGCTACACTCTCCTATCATCTATGGCGCCTATGGCCGCTGCTACCCTGTCGCTATGGCTAAGCTCCTTCTCTCACCCACTTCGTCTTCGGGCTCACTGCAGACCACCTCGCACAAGTCGCTGTGACAGCGCTTCCGCATGGCTTACGCAGGAAATTCAGGAATGACTGAATGGCTGGGCGCTGCCTCTTGATTTATACTTCTGTATCTCGTTGGTCTGCCCTTTTCCCATGCCCGTGGTGCATGCAGTCCCGTGCGGTACTTGCAGTCCCGTGTGGTGCATGCAGTCCCGGGCGATCATGTACTAAATAGGAAAATCGAACTGACCAATTTGGTTTGACGATTGTCCAATTGAATTTTCGTTTGTCCAAATCGCTTCGCCTTGGTCCCAACTTACCTGGTCAAAGGAGTAATATGAGCCGGGTGACCGCAATATATGCACTGCCCCTGGTCCATACGTTGTTGCCAAAATCTCTGGTCCAGGCCCAGATCTTCCCAAGGCCGGCCTTGTGGCCAACTTGGGTGCCAACCTCCTTGCCTTTGAGGTGACCTTCCACCTCTGCGCTGCGGCGACCGACTGGGTCCTGAGCGATTCGGCGGGGGACCTTGACCCCTCTCTCCCACTTGGCGGTTCCCTTGACTGCCAACCCCCTGTGCACCCGAACCTCGACCACCCGTGGCCTGGCCCCTTTGGCCCTGGCCTCCTCCTCTACCTTGCGGCCTCCCTCCAGCCGCGACATCAGCATAGGTCCTCCCCTGGCCTACACTACTATCCTCCTCCTCTAGCCCCCACTCGATCTGACTGTAGGGGACTTCGTCTGCACCACCTTTATCTAATGTAAGGATCAGATAATCCTTGGCCCTAACCTGGCCAGAGATGGTACGGCCTTTCCACTTTTTGCCCTTATCTAAGTCCTTATGCCAGAAAGTGGAAACTGGCATGGACTTGGCCTCAAACAGGACCACTTCTCGACTCAACGCATCGTACGTGATGTTGGCCTGTTGGGTCTTGTCAAACAAATGCCCTCGCAAGGGCTCTGGCATGGCACGATAGAATAGTTGGACCAACTGAGTCTCTGTGACCCCGTGGTCTGGACGGCTACCAAGTCGTCCATGACAGCTTTGAGTGCTCGCGCACTCCTCCACTGTCGCGAGTGGATGGTTTGGAGCTTGTCAGAGGCCCTCACGCCCCTTGTGACGTCAGTGAACCTCTCACACAGGAGTCTGAGGAAAGTGGAGAGAGGGGTGAGCCTAGAATATGCAATCATATTGTGCTCGCAATCAGCGGTGCGCATAAGGGACCTGGCGAAGCTGGCCGCTTCGTCCTTCAATGCGTGGAAGGCTACGAGGACTTGTTCCTCTGGGGCAATATGCTGTAAATAGACATATGTATTAATGCTAGCCTCCCAATTATTGAAACTATCGTCCTTTTTCCCGCTATAAGCGTCAGGAAATTTGAGCTTAACAGGCTCTTTGCGGGGACGCGACGCGGCCGCTGTTGTGGCCACTACCTTGGCGCCTTCAACGGCGCCGACGCAGAACTTCTCTGCGCCGTCCTTCGATCTTTTGACCTCGGTTCCGACGTGAGTTACCACGTCGCGCGCAAACTCTCTAAAACCTGACCGGATGGCATGAAGGGTCACATCTTGACCCTTGTTGGCCCGATGCTCCTCAAGCCAGGCCTCGCTCAGAACCTCAAGGTACCCCAAAATCTTGTCTAACTTCGGGGGGGCCTTTGTTTGTGCCTGCACCTCTTGTCTGCATGCCCGGACTTTCTCCACCTCTTTAGCCATCCGATTGGCTTCCTCCCTCCTCTTCTTGTCCCTGGTCAGCCGCAACTTCCACTCCAATCTCTTTTCATCTTCTGCTGTCTGGCGGTCCAAGGGGTCCTCCATCGCTTCCAACTCCCTAGCGAATGCTTCTCTCTCCTCCTGAGGCACGTACAACAGTGCCTCCTCATCCTCTCCCAGGGATAAATAAGCTACCCACTCGCTAATCTTTTTCTCCATCCACGCATCCTCTCCCTTCGTGCCACTGCTTTCCCCTCGTTCTTCCCTGCGTCTCCTGTCGAGGGGTACATCTTCTACTGCTTCCTCCTCTGCTGCTGCTTCTTCTTCAGCAACCCTCCTCTTCTCTTCCTCCTCCTGGTCTAATCTCCTTATCTCTTCCTCCAACTTCTTCTTCTTCGCCGCCTGCTCCTCCACTATCGCCTTCAACTTTGCTTGCTTGAGGAGCTCCTTTTTCTCCCTTCTCTCCCTCAGTATGGCAGCGGCTTGCTCCTCTTGAGCTTGGGTGTAGGGGGCAGTACTCTTCCCACTACGGGTGTCAACCATGGTGTCTGGTGCACAACCGAACAACGGTTGCACTCCTCACCACTTAGACTCTACTCCCCTTGACTGACTCAACCTACTGACCCGATCTAAGGACTGACAGAATCCGGACAGGATCCTGTCAACTAGGGTCTCTAGCCTAGACCTAAACAATGGCTGTCACTACAGGACCTGTTGCTGATCAGGAAGCATTTAAGGAGATCCCCCGTAACTCCTTAGGAATTCTTTAACGTCGCAGACAAGACGACGCGATCAGCAGGTCCTCTCAAGACTTAGACGGCCTGTTGTGCAGCCCACAACTCAGATTTTGGGCCTACCGTGCCACACCGAGCAGCCCGCCGGTCAGTACCGGTCCTTGGGAGGGTTCGTCTCCTCCGGGACAGTCGTGTCGTCAGACACAGTCTTTAGCCCTACTCAGCCCGTGTGGGTTTGGTCAACAAGGCCCTATCCTTCATCCACAAAGTCCTACCACCTGGACGGAAGAGACTCGATGCAGAAAGAAGAGACAAACAGACTTGACTCAGCAAGTACCACAGGGTGTGTGCACATCCATAGGGCGAGGGGATAGGCTGAAGGCTTGGCGACATTATACCGGCTCCAGCTTGGTCAAATTCGTGAACAACAGTCTTGGTCAACGCCTTGGTCAATGCTGCAGTCAACCCCCGGTCAACTCCGGTCAACACCCGGTCAACTCCTTCGGTCAGCTATGGCTGCTGTCTTCTCCTTCCTCACCACTCTTCTCCTTCCTCGCCTCTT